ACAGGATCACATTGTAGTTGAGAACGATGTGTAAACAGCTGAGTTTGGCTGTCTCTCCTGGATGTCTGAGGATGTGAGCCGGAGTCTGGTGGACTTGGTGACTGAAGCACAAATAAACATCAGAAAGTAATCAATGATATCAATATGTGAACAGAATCAAAAATACATTTTATGACATTACCTGACACAAGGATGGCTTCACAAGTGATAATCAGAAATAAGATTTTGTTGATCTTGTGTATTTAGAGTGGGTATATAACTGTGTCTTCCTCAGTGTGTAAGCAGTCATATATGCACTCCCTGTGAGTGAGTGTCGAGTCTTAAAGTGGGTGGTGTCATCCTTCATCAGCTGGACTACGACTGCTCCACTACTCTATAATTACAAATAGAGGAAGTGTGTATAGTAGAGACGCAATTTACCCAGACATCCTTAGGGAGGATCATTTCTAGAATATTTAGTGCTCCAATGGTTTGCAAATTACAAATGATTAGAAGTATTTATCAGTCAGCATTTCAATTCAGATACCAGATTTCTGTCATGATTTCTGCAGACATCTTGCTGTTACTACATGTATTTCAATGAGAGTTTGAAATATGATGTCAATCATATATTATTCATACAGCAGGCACAGGAGAGGAACACTGCACCCTATTGGATAAGAACTGCATTATAACTGTGTATTAGACTGTCTGATAGCGTTTGTAGCTCGTGTGGTTACAGCAGGTGACTGTTGTGATTGTGTTGGAGGGTTTTTGTTAAAGACAGAGGCTTTATGCAGCAGCGTGCATCGCTGGCAGCACAGAAATACACCATGCTGTCCTCGGCTCCCTTCGCTGTTTGAGTGTGAAGAGATGACAAGCTTCTTCCATCCCCACTCACGTTATAGATATTTTTGAATGGACTTTCAATGGTCACAGAGTTGTATCGTACAAACCCGATGAGAGTAATTTCACTGCTGCGCACAGACTGTTTGTACCACTGGATCATATTAAAATCACTATTTGAGTGGCTGCAGTTAATCAGGACTTCCTCTTCAGGATCTTTGAACATGGCAGGAGGATTCTGATGAACACTTGTTTTTAAGAGCTCTGCAGAAAACATCAAAACATACAGTGTTAGTGGAGATAAAAAAAATCTAACCCAAAGGACTTTATGAAATTGTATGACATTACCTGCTACACAGAGCGGCAGAGCAGCTATTTGTATGAGCAGTGTGATGATCATCTTTGTGCAGGGAAAAGCATAAGACTCATGAAGAGTGCAAACTGAACTCAGTTGTCTTGTTGGAAGAAATGGTGGGTTGACACTGTGCGAAACATTGGCGGAGCCAGAGCGGTAGCCAAGGGTGGCGCGCAAACCCCAGTAATCTGATTGGCCACCACCCCCTGTCAGAGGTCAGACGGTGGTATGTATGTGGCTGTTTGTTAACAAGTTCTATATAAAAGATGAATATGTTAGTGTTGTGCTCACAACTTGTTTCTGCTGCCCTCAAGTGGCCAACATGTATTATCAGATTATTAAATGAATTATTAAATGTATTATTAAATTTATGAAGTTATTGCAGTTTTAATGTCCCTTTTAACAGACAGGGTTCCCACTCTTTTTTAAAGAAATCGATTTCCAGGACTTTTTCAGGAGTTTTCTTGACAATCCAGGACAAAACTTGCTTGTTAAACGTAAAACTAGTAAGTATATTACACTTATATACAGCATTCTCCAAACTTGTTTAAAATGTGGTAACAGAATTTATCAGACTAAATGCATTTTCTCTATACAAATGTTATCAGTTAGTTGAATTTACTCAGTTTTCTTCTGTCAAAACAGCTGCCATATGATAAAAACTATTTAAAATTAATAAATTATCAAAGTATTAGCCAATTCATTTTCTGTAAATCATCTAATCTAATTGTTATTGTTATTTGTTTTTTATGTGACTAACATCAAAATCCTTCCCGATACTTTGGGGGGTCATTAAGACTTATCTGGATGCATAGTTGGGCATATGATGATTTATAAACTGATTTTTTTTTTTTTTCCTTAGCATTATAGAACAGTGGCACTTACATTTTTGTAATGATGATGTAAAGTCAACTTAATTTAAATGAGTCAATGGAACAAAGTGGAATTATATATTGATATCACCAATACTTTTAATTTTTAAGTTAAATGTAAGTTCACTAAAACAACAAACAGTTATTACTTCAAGAACCCAATTTTTAGTTTGGTTTAATTGCAACTGAGTGCCTCCACATTTGTTGGAGGATTAAGTTATTTGACCTATTTCTGCTATTAAGATAAGCTTGTACAGTGCAAACAGAAGGATTATTGTGTGCATGGAAGCACAGCCAGATATGACTTAATGGATGCAGCCATTGTAACAGTACTTAAGTGAACAATAAATCTAAGTGACCAATGTTCCATTTTTCCTGAAGCCTAAATTCAGTGAAAAACTGACCCCATATGCCACTGACAGCATATTTGGGTTGATGATGACAACATTTTACTGATATCTAGACTGAACACTTTTCCTTATTGATTATGGCAATCTGTTGGTAAAAACAGGAAGTGGCACTGTAGTGGCAAATCAATTTACTGTGGCAGTCTGTGGTTAGTCACAGGTGTGAGTGAATGTGTGAAGGTTTTTGCAGAGAAGAGAAGGCTATTGAGGCACTGTGTGTACAGCAGCGCAGAAGTACGTGCCACTGTCCTCTGGATGTCTGAGTTTTAGGATGTGAAGTTCAGCTTTCTTTGAGCCATCTCCACTGAGTTTGAAGCTATTGCTGAATAAGTTTTCAATCGTCAGGCTACTGTAGAAAACATATCCAATTAGTTTAAGCTCAGAGTCACCCATCGACTGCTGGTACCACACTATTGTATCGTATGAACTGATTGAATGGCTGCAGCTGATTGTTGCAGGATCACGAAGATGTCCCAAGATGGCTGGTGGAACCTGTAAGACCTCCTTACACAGTGAAAGATCTGTGTTTAAAGAGAGACAAATTATGAGAAAAACCGAGTTGTTTTTTATTTATTTTTTATTAACAAATTTTGTCAAAGGATTTGAATTTAAACCCACAGGAGATCCAGAGAATCAGTAGAGTGATCCTGTTGAGGTTGCTGATCATGGTGGCTTAACCTTGCTGTCGCTGTCGCTGTCGCTGCACTGGCAGACCCAACAGATGTGGGATGAACTCAGAGAGGAGGTGACAAAAAATGTAGTGAACAGAGCTTCCTGCAGTGCTCCTCTTTTCTGGCATTATCTGTCAATGTATATTCAGGACAGTATACCCTAATGTGTGTATTTGTGTGTATTTCTAATAAGTGTCATTGTACCCAAATTGCACAAAGTCTCTTTTAACCATGCTAGTGACATCAAGTGAGAAAAACAAAACAAAATTGGTGATCCATTTTTTAAGTCTGATCTAAATTGTTTTCTCTTGTGTGTCTGTAATTTAAGATCAGGTGGAAAGAAAGATAATGCTAGGATATATTTTTTTAAATATTTTTTTTTTAGTTTGAAACAAGTGAAAAAACTAAAATTCAAAAAGTTATTTTCTTTTCACCGCTAAAAAAAAGGTGAAAAAAAGTTTGACTTTGAAAGGTGACTTTTGTGACAAGTGTTTGTTGTTGAAATACGCATTTTGTCCACAAGAGGCTGAAGGGCATCTCTCCAACCATGTTCTAAATAGGACTAATAGCATTCAACTTTTCTTCTTCCAGGTGAGTTATCCTGACTGGATCCTGGTGGAGCCTCCTGCCATGGTCCTACTTGACCCCCACTGCTAATATTACTGATATTATTGTTGTTATTATTATTATTATTATTATTCATCCCCCATTGTTGTTGTATAATCATCTTCATCACCATCATCATCATCATTATGATCATCATCATCTGTCATTTATATTAGTATAGTTGTTGCTACTGTTTTCGCTGTGCACCTTTTGTCTCTCTCTGTCCTCTCTTTAACCCATCCCCTCACTCCTCTACCCTTCAAGTTAGAAACATCTGATGTCACCAAAATAATACACAAATGTTTGATTCATTTCCTACACTCTTTTCTCTCTCTTTCTTTCTGTACTTTCTCTCGGCACAGTAGTGAGCTAAATGCTAACATCTTATGGAAACATGCTGACAATGATAATTCTTTAATGCTAATGTTAAGCATGTTCAGAAATCTCTCTGATAGATTTGTCAAAACCTGTACAAATAAAACCAAAACTATCTTCATGACCAAACACCACTGGGGTAAATTATAAAACATTTTCTCTTTTTTGGTATTTGGGTGAACTGACCCTTTAAAGGTCTCCTTCATGTTTAAAGCCACCCTACTACTGGAATAATCTACCTGTAAATATTCGGTCTATATCAATTTATCACCTGTTTAAAAATGCCTTAAATCTTCTTATTTTAGGATCAACTGTACATGTTCTTAATGTCAGTTTATCCATTTCCATAATAACATCTTTATCATTTGTAATCATGTTTTGTAACTCTATTACCTAATGCTTTCACTGACATTAATACTGCCAGTATATGGTCTTGTTATATACCTTGTTTTCCCCTTTTGTTTTGTTGTGTCTCTGTATGTTTTGTTGGTTTAGTCATATTTGGTGTTATATGCTGTTATCTTTGTCAGACCTTTTGTGTAGTTTCTGTCGTTGAGGACCCCCTTGAAAACAAGATGGTACATCTCAAGCGGTTATTCCAAATAAAGAATTGCCAATAATAGGGTCCAGTGTGTAGGATTTTGTGGCATCTCCTGGTGTAGCTACAGATTGCAACTCACTCTCACCCTACCTTGCCAAGCGAGAGGGAGAAACTACAGTGGCCATGAAATGCATGAAAAATGCAAACACCCCTAGGTAGAGCCAGTGTTTGGTTTGTCTCTTGGCCTACTTGGTGGCCTCTTCGGGAGGCAACCAATGGCGTGGTAATGGTAATATTCCTATATTCAGGTGATTAATAGATGCTCCTAAATGTTACACACTGGACCTTTAAAGTGCCTTATATACAAATATGTACATCACTGTCTTCTTTTTTATCTACTTCTACTTGCCCTCATCTCATCAACATCCCTCTGATGTTTACCCTGAGCATAAAGTCAACTCGCCTGCAGAGGGGTTTCCTCTCCGCAAACAGACCCTTCTCTGTGTCTGAAACCGGAGAGGTGAGCATTCCTCTGCCCAGGCCCTCAAATAAAGACCCAGATTCTTGCAGAAATAATCCAGATTCCCACTGGGAGTGCAAACCTATCCGCTGTACCTCCCTCAAGGTGGACAATCAGTGTCTTTGTGAAGCCAAGCTGATGCCAACAGCCTGAGCCCAGAGCCACTCCACCCGGCAGCCCCTCAGTCCTGCTGCCTAAGCTGTGCAGATGGTCTTCCTTGCTGTGGAAACACTGGATTACTTCGGACAAATATCATCATCATAAATGCTGGATTATCAGAGCCGAATATTTCTTCTTTTCTTGGTGGATTATGGATCTTCAAATTCATTTTCAAATGGAATTATCAGATAAAACACCACCAGCTCTTTGGGATTGCATGACATCAAGGCGTCTCCACCGACTGAGAGGTAGGCCAAAGTTATTCCTCTTTTCTGACCCAGATATAGCACATGCTAGCCAGTTAGGAGCCACATTTCTTGAGCTGCTTGTATTACGTGGCTACATTTTCAGAGCTCAGACTGGATTAAGATTGCAGACAGCGTGAGGGGGAGACTGACATTTTTTGACTCATCACTCTGGGAAACAAGGTTTTAAATTGTCAAAATAAATAAGCAAAATGTCACAGGGCTGCTTCAAAATATTTCCAATCCTCCTGTTTTGTCTGGGACGCTCAGTTTTATCTTTTTCTCTTCCCACACACTCACACTCTCCAGGATCTCTTAGTGTCACCCCTTCCAAGAGGTACAGACTGAACAAGAGACAAGAAAAAAATACATTAGATATTTTTTTTAATCTCGTTTCCGCAATCAGTCACTGTACAAAACAGGTAAAAAGCTGCTTCAATTCAAGTCCTGGGGGGGGTGGGGGCAGTCAGCGAGTCAGTCACGGAATTAGGCAGGATTCAATGTTAGACCACTTAACATGCTTTATTTCAGCATTCAAAATAATTAAAAACATCTCAATTTATTATACATATACAAAATAGGTACAGATCCTTGTGGTGTTTTCCCCCATGGGTGTGTCTGTCTGCCTTCTCTCACAAAACTCTTTTCTGATGGCTCTCTTTCTGTGCATTTAAAAAAAATCTCTGATTGCAATTTTTTTGAGAAAGTTCACCCTTCGCACAAGAAAACAAGAAACAAACTACAACAGATGTGTGGATGAAGGGGTGGAGAAGAATTTGGGGTGACAGAAAAGCTGGTGGGGAGGTTTAAAACATAAAAACCAAAAGGTGTGATGAGGGGAAGAGATGCTGATCCACTTCTCACTTGAGCTCAGAAACAGAGCTAGAGTTTGACCGCCAGCACTACCAAGGCTGGAAATAGAGGAAGCCTGTCTCATTCTGGACACCAAGAATAAAAGCCATGGTTTCATTTTAGCACCAAGAGGCCACACCAGAGCCATACTGCACGGCTGGGGGACCTCAAAGAAAGAATAGCACCTTAAGTTTTAGCTGTTCCTGCTTCTGCTAAAGTGTCAGTTAACCTCAACTACCCTACCGACCGCCACAACTACTGCAGGCTTCACTTGAAAAACACTGGGTCCTTTTTTCTTTTTGCAGCTGGAATTCCTTGCTTTACTGAGGTAGCCATAGGATTTTTTTTCTTTCAAAAAAGAGGTTTAAACCCATGTTTCTCTGCTGGTGGTTTTAATGTGACTGTTCTTTAAAAAAAAAGGGTAAAATTGAAAGGAACAAACATGAAAGCGACAACAACAACAAACAAATCACAACAGCTATCAGCGGATGAGGGGAAGGGAGTTGTCAGTGTTGTCTGGGGCAGGTGGAGGTGGGGGCAGAACAACAGAGACAAACATGGCTGTCAGTTTCACCGTTTATTCATCAACACCTGAAACGTGGTACAAAGCAATTGGGTTCTGTCTGTTGGGACTGTCCTTTCATTCCTCTCACCGCAGTGGTGTATAAAAATACAAAAGTCACCTGTGTGTTTCTGTTGATTTCTGTAAACTCCAGAGATGCCTGGTTTGGCTGGATGAAGAGGGGAAGTCAATTTTTTACACTTTACAGAAGCATATATTATTTTCTTGTTGCCAGTGAAACAAAATGTCTTCTCTACAGGATCCTTGGTGTTGGTGATGGTAAAAAAAACAACAAAAACGAGAGTCAGAAATAAAAAAAAAAGTAGTGGTCCCAAACACGATGATGCAGACTCCGCCACATCGCCGCCATCTTGTTGAAGTGCAGGTTTTAGGCAAAGTGGACCATCGAAACAACGGCCAAATGGGAACTCGTAGAATCACGAGCGAGGGGTTGGATTTTTCAGAAAAATGGCATTAGAGAAACGTTTTGGTGGGGGTTTTTTTAGAGAGAGATGACTGCTAGAAAAAATAAAACACACACACACACACAACAACAATTTCAAGTCCAGATTTCTCTTTTTACAAGAAACAGACGGGTCCAACTTCAAGGCCGAACTCTTGGTCTGGAGCACCAACATCCATAGGAGCGATATCAATGATGGGCAGGCGAGATGTTTTCGATGTCTTGTAGTCGATGACTGTCTTGCCCCATGTACCGGTGTGTGACTGGAGGGAGAGAGGATGAAAGGAAAGTTAGGTTCAACATTCAACATGACTGCTGCACAGTTAATACTGGAAATTTAAAAATGCCTAAACTTTTGCCCAAACTTTTAACAGCCAAACTAGATGCAGTAGCTAGCATCATGTTTGATGTCTGATCAAAACCACTGATTATTACCAGGACGTGTATACGCCTGCTGAATTGTGGTATCTGATCCTTGCTAATGTTGCAAGTTTAGCATTTCAAGCTTCATGTCATCTAAGGATCGGCTAGTTTCCTCACCGTGCATCCATCCTCCAGGACGCTGTAGGTGAAGCGGCTGTTGCCCTCGGCTCTGATCTCGATCTCGTTGGAGCCCTGGAGGAGCAGGGCCTTCTTGAGGTTGCCGACAGAGGCGTCCATGTAGGCGACGCTGTTCTTGCAGTGGTAGGTGATGTTCTGAGAGGCCTCGGTGGACATGAGACGCAGGAAGGTCAGCTGGATGTTGACATCCTCTGGCAGAGAGCCCTCGCTGCCATACTCGAACTGTGTAGGAAAGAAGATAGGAGAGAAGTTACTGACTGAACTGTGAGGGAGAGGAGAATTAAAAGGTGGAGACGGAGTTGAGAAAACAAGAGGAGGGAGAAGAAGGGAAAGTGAGGGTACAGGAAGGAGGAACTGAGAAGGAAGCTGTCCTTAATAGGCTTGGATTTGGATGCTGGAACTAAAGGAAGATAGGAGCATGAGTCAGGAAGTGCTCTGTTTTGGTGTGTTTACCTGGAAGCCGTCGCTCATAGCCTCTCCGAACCAGACGTGCTTCTTCTCCTTGATGTTCTTGCTGACGTACCAGTTCTTCTTGGTAACCTCGCGCTGAGTTGGGGATACGCAGGTCTCACCAGTCTCCATGTTGCAGTAGACCTTGATGGAGTCCTGAGTGCAGCCCTGGTCAGGGTCAATCCAGTACTCGCCTGGAGAACAAAAAGAAGAAAAGTCAGAACTTTAGCATGCTATTATTCTATTTGCATGCTATCCTAAATGCTGCCATCTACCATTATCCGATTCCTCTAAAGGCTTTTACTCACCGCTCTTCCAGTCAGGGTGGCACATCTTGAGGTCACGGCAGGTTCTGGCGGGGTTCTTGCGGGTTCCGTCAGGGCTGCGGATCTGCTCAATCTGCTGGCTCAGGCTCTTCAGGGTGCCGTCCACCTCCAGGTCGCGGTCACGGAGAACGTTAGCGTCATCAGCACGGAACATGCGGAAGGGATCGGGTGCCTTCTCCTGAGGCTGGGAGATGAAACCGAGGTCGAATCCACCGCCAGGGGCACCTGGTGCTCCAGGAGGTCCGGGAGGTCCAGGAGGACCCTGAGATACAAGCGAGGGAAGAGGCGAAAAGGTTATTTCATTGCAGGTAGAGGTCTTGTGGTGTTCCTAGATAATCACAACCACTATATGATGAATAAATGAGGAGACAGAGGACAGGTGAATGGATGAAGACTTACAGCAGGTCCCATCTCTCCAGAACGTCCACGAGGTCCAGAAGGTCCAGTGGGTCCAGGCAGGCCAGTCATACCATCCTTACCAGCACTACCAGCAGATCCAGCAGGGCCCTGTAAACAGCATAAAGGGAAACCTTAAAGTCTCTGAATGTCAAAGTCCTTTCAAACACTCTGAGACATGAAAAACACGAAAAAACTGCTCTGCATTTGTGTGGTGTGTTAACTCACTCTAGGTCCAGCGGGTCCAGGAGTACCAGCAGGTCCCTGCTCTCCAGAAGATCCCTACGAGTTAACAAACATAAACAGGGGTCAGAGATAAAGTCTGTATATTGCATATATTGTTAATATATGTGTAGGTGTGAGTGTAAAGTGACATACAGCAGGCCCAGGAGGTCCCTGCATGCCAGTGAATCCTCTGTGTCCCTTCATGCCTCTCTCGCCAGCCTCTCCAGTCTCTCCCTTGTCTCCACGAATTCCAAGAGCACCCTGTTAGAGGAAAGAAGGGGGTGAAGAGTGCTGTTTTGCCTTTCTCTACACACTGTCACATTTATTGTAGGGCTCTATTAATGGTGCTGATGTTGTTACTTACAGCAGGGCCACGAGGTCCAGCAGGGCCAGCAGGGCCAGCGGGTCCAGCAGGTCCCTGAAACATAACAAAAATCAGTTTGATGTAGAGGCAGGTCTCTCAACTACAGTAGATCTAGTATAAAGCTCGGACTTTCTTTAATGTACTGAATTTACAAATATTTAAAAAAAGAGACAATGACCAAACTAAAAAATTTGTTTGTTACTCACAGTCTCTCCACGGTCACCATTCTTTCCAGCGGGTCCGACAGGTCCGGGGGCACCAGGGGGTCCAGGGGCACCAGAGGCTCCACTAGGGCCGCTCTCTCCACGGTCTCCCTAAAATGTGAGCACAAAATCTTTTTTTATTTCACCAGCTTTAATCATTTTAATACCATGGTCTGTTCAGTCGTGATGAAAAAGGCTCAGGAAAAACTAAATACCTGTCTTCCAGGATCCCACAGATCTTTGCCATTGATTTTTGTCCAAAGGAACTATAGGATGTGGTGAAGCTGGCCTCTGTCTAGGCTATATAAAACATAACAATACTTGCTGGTGGTATAACTCTGCTCCCTGGCTGCCATTTGTGTGATATTGGCAGCTTTGCAGCTAGCTAACTACAGTAGAGCTAAGCATCAATGTATCTAGCATAACTACAGTGGCTTCTACTAGATACATTGATGCTAAATTAACTTCAGGCTGGTTTAACTATTGCTTGGTTCAGGTCAATCTTGCTGACTCTTCTCAAGCTCAATGCTGTAGTAGAGGCTGGAGCGACAGTTCATTGTATACTACTACTTATTGTGTGTTACTTTGCTCTCTGGTGCTG